GGTTACCTAAAATAATTGGCTTGTGTGCAGTGGGTATACTTAAAAGTCATTCTTTCCAAAATTTCAGGCCATCGAGAACAGTAGTCAAATAATGGACATAATCAGTCACATCTTCGGACGAAACCCAAGTAAATAACTGAAGAGATGAATTCAGAGAAATTGGGGGAGTATTGCCAGGCAAGGTGACTGCTGCCAACTGCGGTAACCTACAAATGCAAACCGTTAATGAGACAACAAGTCCGGAGGCGCCACACAGACGGATATGTCTTCAGATGTGTTCAGTGCCGAAGGAGGAAATCCATTGCAACTGGCTCGATATTTGAAAAGGGTCGACTCACAATCGCGGCAGGCATGAAGATATTGCTGTCTTTTTTAAAGGGAACTAGGGTGACGAAGTGCGAAAAAGACATTGGCATATCTCACTCAGCAGCCGTTCAGTAGTATGCACTGTCGAAATGTATGCTCAGTCGCCCTCATGAAGGAAACCAACTACATCGACGAACCAAGGGTATAAGTGCAAGTTGGTGCAACCCATATAATCAGTATCGCCTATAATTTGGCCTAAATGCCATGGGACTGAAGGAAGCATGGGAAGTTTCCCCGACTCACGTAACTGAGACATATCCAGTATAATGGAAAACCTCCACGGTAGAAGTGGACAGTCTTGTAAATAATTGTTCCCACATAAAGCCATTACATGCCAACTGTCTTGCAATACCTAAGACATTGTGACTGCAACAGAAAGATCATTATCTCGTCCGTTTATCCTTGAGTAGTGTCTGAGGCGGACGGCCGAAGCGATCCAATCGCTTCTTAACTTGTTGAGCTTATGTCATGGTAGGCAATGGAAAGGTGAAGAATAACGTCTACGATTGAGGACAGAAGCAATACGATCGCCCCTCATCTCCCTGACCTTAGCTCAAGCGAGGTAAGGGCAAGCTGGAGGGGTAACGCCTGTGACAGGCTGAAAAGGCTAAGCAAGCTGATAAGTTATTTAAATCCGCACGGAAAATGTGTGCTGCAAGGTAACTCAACGGCAACGGAAAAACCAAATCGGAAGGGCCAAGCCGAACGTAAACTCCGTGTCTTGAGCAGCACTAAACAACCTACGACCAATTTAAATAAGTGTGGTAGGCAGTCTTTTGTATGCGACGGATGCTTGGGGTCCTACAACCTGTCGTTACGCAAAGCACTTTTACTAACCATTGATATATACATTCCTTTGTCCTACCTTTGTGCGTCATCTGACACTAGAACTGCTTGCTTATAATTTAAAAGTTGAAAGGAATCTTATGATTTTTTGGGGTTTCTTCGCCTTTGGAAGGATTAACTTCGCTATTGGCACAAACTTGAAACTCAATCATAGAATTAAGTTCGCTTCTGGTATCAGACGGTTCTTTCTGTTTTCTGTAATTTTTTAGCCTTGTATAACCAGTGAAATGTTGATTCAACTACCAGATTTGCATCTTCGTTAGAGTGTGCAGGAAAAAGAGACTCGACTGATCTATTTGCTCCCGCGTTAAAAGTAAGTATTGCTGCTTTTTTAATTTCCTCAGAAATAGACTGTTAGCGTGCAGCAAATCAGTTTATACTAAGATCTATAGGCGGAGACCGAGGTACTATAATCGTGGCCGGAGACATATCGGGTTACAGCGTGTGTTCGCAGCCTTCTCTAGATATGGCTAACGCCTTGACCCTTTAGTCGCTCAAAACTATGCCTCAGCTAGTCGTAACAGAACATCATCCGATGAAAGACTAGATAAGTTGATATACAGCGGCATAAACAGTAGCTCCGACAAAGTTATTGAACAAGCGTTTAAATTTATTGGGATAATAAGCATCGAAACTGAGGAGGACCTCAACTATCAGAGCAACCACCCATTGGTGCACAAACGGGGCTGTGTGAGGGCGCTTTTCGACCGGGTAAAAACGCACTGTAGCGAGCCCGAAGGAAGGATGCAAGAACTACAGCATCTCCGGGACCAATTAACAAGGAACGGCCACCAAAATAATTTCATCAGCCGCTGCATACGCACGCACCCACGACGGACCAACGGAAGAGATACACCAACAATTTGGCACTCCCTACCGAGGCTACAGAAGGCATTGCGTCAGAGCTAGGCATGGGCATCGCTCATCATCCGACGGCCCCCGTGCGTAGCAGGATCATGAAAATGAAGGATCGGCTGGACACAGGTGGGCAGTGGGGCGTAGTCTATCAAATCCCGTGCCATAACTGTCCTTGCCATTACACAGGCCAAACAGGACGACGTCTCAGCTCACGTATACTTGAGCACAAATGGGCCGTTCGAAGAGGCGACCCACTATCTCAAGTCGCCACTCACACGCTGGAGGAAGGCCATGAGTTCGACTTCGCCAATACGCTGATGTTGGTGAGAGCCGGCAACAAGACGGGGCGAGAACTGTTTGAGGCGTGTGTGTCGGACACCAACTCTATCAATAGGCATATTGATTTGCCTGCGTGGTATCACGTCCTCCGCCTACGCAGCCAGGTGGTGCAGCTCACATCGCCGCGAGATACAAACGGCGTCACCACGCCGGGGGACCATTGTAGACCAGGCGGTACAAACCAGACCTAGCCACGGACGTAGTCCCTCCCCCGCACGGAACAGCGATATAAATGTTCACACGTTGCTGCACTCCAGTGGTCCCTGATGATGAACTCCAGTTCGAGTTCGAAAGCTAACGCCAATAAATCTATTGTCCCAATGATAATGCCTTCGTCTTCCTCTAAACAAGAACCCGGGATGCACATATTCTCTTCCATTCGCAAGCATAATCTTACACTGCGTACCATTCCGAATCACATGTCTGCTATTGACGGTGCACATTTGTTTCTACAAAGTTGTGGCTTGGATTTCAGTAACGCGCCAGCTAAACGATTGCGTTCACTCAGCCGTGATGCGCCGATGCCAGTTACTCTTGTCTCCTTGATAGAAGTTGACTTCATCTTGTCGATGGAGGAGATAAGTATAGAATTCTGCCGGATCTCAAGCCTATGCAGAGAAGACTTAACAATTTGAAAATGTCGAAAACCAACACCGATATAACGACTCCTGTTGTCATGGTGAATAAGTCTTCTTCGACAGCATCCGTGGTCCCATCACTTCATGATATAGATAGATAAATAGATAATCTTTTTATTAAAGACCCGTCTGGGTCTCACCAAAGCAAGTAAAAATAAAGTTACATGCGAATGTTAGACTAGGTAGGCAGAATCTTTACAAAATGCAATTAATAGTTTCTGAATTAGTAATCCAAGGAGAAAAATGATTAGTGAGGGACGAAAAAAACTCCATACGAAAATTTAAAAATGATTGGATTAATTTTACAGGAGGATAAAAACCCTCAATAAAAATAAAGACAGAAAAATGCGGGCAGGATCGGCCTGTAGGTGGCGATATATAGCGGATTATAGTCGGACATCGTCAGCCTTGAGGGGTACGAATGCGGGTCAGACAGGACTGGCCTGCATGTGGTATCGTATACGTCGGGATTGATACGCCGCATGAGACTATTCGCGTCCAAAAGGCCAGACGAGAGGAACCCAGACGCGATCGGCCACAGCAAGCTTCGAGCTCAGCTGAGGAGTGGGGAAGGGAGGTACGACCAAACTACTAGTAGACGGTGAATACTGAGGGTTCCGCCGTGAGCGTCCACAGACCGCATGAGGTCGGAATGTGGGAGATGACATCAAAAACCGCGAAAATTGTCGCTATGGGGGAGGAGTGATAGCAGTGGATTTAGAAACCAATTCAAAACAGGTGTTTCACTAAATCCCAGGAGGGCCCTTCTCGAAGTCAAGTATCAGAGTGTTCGGGAATGAGACCGTTAACAGTGTCTTTATGCTTTCCAGTGTAAGATGTTTGCGTAATTTCGACTTGAATACCAGTAACTTAGGCGATAATCTAATTTCAGGCGGAAGATTATTCCAAAGGAAGGCATATTTGGAAGCAAAGAAGAGGGAGCGCTTAGATGTAGTACAAAGAGGCGGCGGAATCACCATGCAGGAGTTGCGCGTGGCATAAGACCGATCTCTCGGAGTGAGAGTATCAATGAGCGGAAGACTGGAGCTAGAGTTGATGCGAAAAAGGAAGCAAAGGCCAGTTTCGTGCCTTCTAACCCACAAAAACTTAATGTTCGCCAGCTGACATCTCTGAGTATAAGAAATACTGGACGAAGCTTCAGAGAACAGTTTCCGGGTGAAAACCCTCTGAACATTTTCGATTTTATTACGGTCGCAGGCGTTCATTAAACCGAAGAAAGGACAGCAGTATTCGAGAACTGGAAGAACAAACATTTGATAAAGTCTTAGCTTAATTTCCGGAAGGAAAAAATTATGCGATATGAATCCACATATCTGCGCGTCTTTGGTAGAGATTCTATCTGCATGAGGTGATAAAACTAGCTTATTTCTATAACTTAGACCTAGGTCCTTTATGATGAGGCATTTTGAGAATGGCTTATTCTAAAACATTATGGGACCAGGAAGTTTGGCAGGACCAAATGACATGAAACTACACATGGATGATGAAAACTCCATCTGCCATGTCGAACCCCATCTGCTTAAGCGTAGTGAATCGGCATAATTTTTTTTCAACACAAACGTTTGCGGTGTCATTAGAGTATGAGCTAACACACTTCAGGTCATAGGCATACGTAAATTTTGCGAATTTCCGAGTTCCGTCGTAATATCATTTATGTACAGAAGGAAGAGTAGCCGACCCAGAACCGTGCCTTGGAGTACGCCACTCGTGATCGAGTGAGGTGTCGAGTGGTAATTACCGACCATGACCATAACGGCGAATATGGCCTCCTTGACGGCGAGAACCCGTCGCGACGTCTCCGTAGAAGAGTCGTTTGGGTAGTCGCTCGTCGTCCATGCGCACCGGGTGGCCGCTCCAGCGCAGATGAATTTGCCTCAGTATGGCGTAGATGCTGAGGATTCCCGTCCGTTCTAGCACATCAGTGTCGGGGATTCAGTCCTGCCACTTCAGCCTCAGGATGCGACGAAGACAACTGAGGTGGAAGGGGTTCAGACGACGTGCCTGCTTTGCGTACACCGTCCATGTCTCCGCTCCATACAGTAGTGTCGGCAGGATGACTGCCTTGTACATCTTCAGCTTCGTGCTCAGCTGAAGACCGTGGCGATTCCAAACTGTGCTTTGGAGGCGAACGAAGGCTTGACTGGCTTTCGAGATCCTGTTGGCGACTTCGTTGTCGATTTTGGTGTTGCGGGAGAGAGTACTGCCCAGGTACGGGAAGTTCTCCACCACTTGCAGTTGGGTTCCGTTCACTCTGATTTGCGGCGACGCGTTGGGGGCTGTGACTGAGTGGGATGGCGGTTGGAGCATCACCACCGTCTTCTGCGTGTTAATGACCAGACCGAATTTCTCGCAGGCGGCGGAGAACAGGTCCATGCTCCGTTGCATCTCCTCTTCCGAGGTGGTGTTCAGGGCGCAGTCGTCGGCGAAGTCGTCGCATCCTGAGGCTGAAGAGGCAGGATTGAATCCCCGACACTGATGTGCTAGAACGGACGGGAATCCTCAGCATCTACGCCATACTGAGGCAAATTCATCTGCGCTGGAGCGGCCACCCGGTGCGCATGGACGACGAGCGACTACCCAAACAACTCTTCTACGGAGACGTCGCGACGGGTTCTCGCCGTCAAGGAGGCCATATTCGCCGTTACAAGTATACCCTGAAGTCCTCCCTGAGTGTACTGCAAATCAACCCCACCAACTGGGAGGAGCTCGCACTCGATCGACCGACCTGGAAGAGGACAGTAAAGACAGGCGCTGTGATCTACGTAGCCAACCGCATCGCTGCCGCCAGAGCGAATCGTGAAGCCCGCAAATCACATCCTCGCCCAGTACGCAACGCCTCCGCCGCTTCCAACGTGTC